GGAGGAGATGGAGCTGACCCTGGTGGGGCTGCAGTACTCGGGCAAGACCACCTTCGTCAACGTGATCGCGGTGAGCCCGGGGGCCGCCCCGCATCCCTCCATCCCCGAGCAGCCCCAGGGAGCGGCTTCACCCCTGTGCCTTGGACCCCCCCATTACATCCTCATTGCAACCCCATTGCATCCCCATTGCACCCTTGCGCCTTGGACCGACCCCCCCCCCCCCCCCACTGCGCCCCTATTTCACCCCCATTGCACGTCCTCATTGCACCCCCTGGGCCATTCTCAGAATGTCTCCCCCCATCGCACCCGAGCCTGAAAATGCCTTCGGGGAGGGGTGCAGGGTGGGGCGGGATGCGGGATGCAGCAGTGGGGTGGGTACACTGTGGGGTGCGGGTCCGGGAGGGCCCAGGCGAACCGCAGCGTTTGTCCCCTCATCCCCAGAGCCGAGCGCGGTGCTCGGGGCCACAGCCGGAGCAGAGCCTGGGGAGGGGTCCTGGCACCCCCTGCCCTTCCCGGCGGGGGCCCCGCCAGCGGGCAGTGATGCCCTGGATTGCGGGAGCCTCGGCCCTGCGAGCCGGGCAGCTGCTGCTGCTCTCGTACCCGTAGCAGCAGGCGCTTTGTCATCGTCCCTGCCGCCGACGGGACGCGCAGGTGGGGCCTTTGGCGACCCTGTCTGCTCGGTGCCGTCGGGGTTCCTTGCCTGGGGGCCGGTGGAGGAGATGTTTGCCTGCCGACCTTCCTCGGGGAGCATCCACCAGCAGCAGCGTCCTGTGGGTGCCGGTTGCTCCACACCCAGACAGGGCAGTGACACCCACCTGAGCCCCTCCAGTGCTGGCATCCCCTGGCTGCCCGCCTCGTCCACAGGGTCCCTGCATCCAGCAGCGGATCAGGAGCTGGATGTCCCGCATCCCAAAGCCCAGGGCGTGGTCTCACCCTTGGGGTCTCCCCTCTTGCTTTTTGGGTTGTTCTCACCCTCTCCAGGTGATGCTTCGAGGCGGGAGGACCCCGAAGGGGTGGGTTTGGGGGTTGTTCCCGGGGTTTCGTGGAGGCAGGTGGATGCAGATCCTCCAGTTGCCCTGGTTCCCCCTCTGCCCCTAGTCCCTGCACGTGTCTCCACAGTCCATGCTGGCCATGGCTCTGAAGCAGTGAGTCGTGGCTGCTCATTCAGGGTGCCGGAAGTTCCTGGGCTATCAGGGGATTTTCAGCTCTTATGGGGCTTTTTTGCACTGGAGCCATGCTCTTTGGGAGGTGCTGAGGAACAAAAATGTCCTTCCTGAAGTGTCTGGCGGCAGAGAGAGGACACCCTAAAATTTTTTTCATCCTGGAGATGATGGCACTCTTGCTCTTGAGCTGTTTTGCTGCTGCTTCAGTCTCCTGCTGGTTCCCCCCATAAACCAACATCAGCCTCTGGAGACAGGGAGCTTTTTGGCTCTGGGCCAGTGGCCCTGAGCAGCAGTTCTATTTTCGGAGGACCTCTCCCCACCGTGTGCATGTTTGACAGTCAATTTTTGCAGTCCCATGCCAGGGTGGGACGCAGCAGTGCCACGTGTGGGCTGCTCCTGCTCCGGATCCCCTGTATGTTGCTGCCTGTTAACAGCCCAGGCTGCCTTAAAAATGGCAAAGTTATTTAATGTTGGTTTTAATCACCCAGATAAGCTGTGAAGGGTGTTGGAGCTTTATCCCAGACCTGCTGTGCTGTTCTGCCTGCACAGGGCTGGAAATCCCAGGGCTTGGTGTTGCTGGGCTCCCTGTTCCCCCACATGCCTCCTCCTTTCCCAGCCACATCTGGAGCAGACTCAGCGTGGGCTTTGTGGGGTTTGAGAGTAAATATTTTGTAGCTGGCAATTTTACTGAGGGCAAGACTCGTGCACCAGGACTCTCTGCTTAGGCAGGATTGCTGGTGTAGGGAAAAGGAATTTTGAGGAGTTATAGCAGCTCTTGAGGGGGCTGAAGTTGGCACCATGGCCTGCTGGTCTGTCCTGTCTGTGGTGGGATGTTTGAGACCCTGACAGGGCAGTCGGGCTCAAGGTGCTGAGTTCAGCCTCTCAAGTTATGTGGAAAGTTCAAGTTTCTCGGCAGATGCACACAGAAAGGGGCACCAGCTTTTGAGAAGACATCCTGGAAAGAAGGACTTGTTGGGGACAGTGAAATAGAAGCATGACACCAAAAATGCCAGCTCAACAGGAACTCCCTGAGAAGGGCTGGAGGCGCCTGGCTTTAGGGTGTTGCAATGGAGTTGCTGGAAGGAGAAGTAGCTGTGATTTGGGCTTTGTGGGGGGGAAAAAAATTGAACTGAAGAAGTATGGGGTTTTGGTGTTGTTGGAGAAACCTCACAAGAAGCCTTTGTGGGGCTGGAGCTGCTCTGGTGGGGTTGGCACCATCCTTTTCTTCCAGGATTTGTAGCTGGTTGAAGAGTGGACTCTGGTTCCCTGGAAGGTGGGTGGCTCCTCCAGCAGCCAGGCTGTGGTTGTGCCAGGCAAGGGCTTTGCTGAAGGCAGCTGTGATCAGGGTGACTTCTGGGTCACCTGCCTAGGGATTTTGATTTTCCAGTGCTTATTTTTCATTTTCCTGGCTGTTGGGAGCTGAGGCTTGAAATCTTGCCTGCAAGGACAAGTGAAAGCTGTAAACACATGTGGTCTTGGTTTAACCTGAAGCCAGTGGGCCTTTAGCTGCATTTGATCTGATGGTGACAAGGGTGACTCGAGGGCGTTGAGAGCTCCTCAGCAGGTGCTGGGGCCCAGAACCTGTCAGTGCAGGCCATGGTTAGAAGAGAGTGTTGCTGCTTTTTAACATCACACACATTGCACCTGTGATAGAGCCTTCCAGGAGAGTGAAGCCACAGAGTGCTGGAGTGTTGGACATGGATGGTGGGAGCTCTGGGGCACCATCCCGTGCTTCAGCTTTGCTTGGAGGGTGATTCAGTGCTGTAAGAGGAAGCAGGAGCTCCTGGAGTGAGTTCAGTGGAGGCTATGAAGATGCTGAGAGCATCTCTTAGGAGGACAGGCTGAGGGAGCTGGGGCTGTTCAGCCCAAAAGAGATGGCTGAGAGGGGCCCTCCTCATCAATGTCTGTCAGTGCCTGCAGGGAGGGGTCAGAGGATGCACCAGGCTCTGCTCCATGGTACCTGGCAATGGGAGGAGAGGAATGGACAGAAACTGATGCTTGGGCAGAAACTGATGCCCGGGAAGTTCCACCTGAAGGTGAAAAAGAACTTCTTTCCAGTGCAGTGACTGAGCATTGAACAGGCTGCCCAGRGAGGCTGTGGAGTCCTCCTCACTGGAGATATTCCAGAACTGTCTGGCAATAATGCTGTGCCRTGTGCTCTGGGATGTTGGTTGAACAGGGAGCTTGGATCAGATGACCACCATGGTCCTTCTGACCTGACCCATCCTGTGAAAGCACATCAGCCCTGTGCTTGACACACCAGGATGGTGGGTGGCATGGCAGGTACCCAGCTCTCTGACAGCACTGATGGTGAGGGCATGGCCCCATAGCAGAGCTCAGTGCCTGCTCCCACCCAACCCCAGAGAGACCCCGAGCCCTTCATGAGCCAGCTGACCCATCTTGGCAGTGCCTGAGCCTGGCAGGGAGCTCCAGGTTTGCAGGGTCCCCAGGGATTGCTGGGGAGGTAGAGGAGAGAGTTGCTGAGGGAAATGTTGTTCTGATGCTTTTGCACCAGTCTGTCTTGACCACCCACCTCTTCAGTAACCCCAGAGGTGTCCCTTGCACAGGGTGTGGCAGGGTGAGACCCATGGGTCCACATGCTGCCCCATGGTCGTTCTGCCTCCAGATGCAGCACTTGGGTTGTCCACAGCTGTGTCTTTGCCCTTTAGTTTCACAATGCAAAAGGTGGTTGGTTTTCTGGGGGGTTTCTCCATATTGCTCGAAGAGGAGGAGAGTCTGGCTGGGGCATGTTCTTGTCTTGCTGCTGCAAGCTCTGTCAGCACGGGCCAAGAAAAACGGACAGCGTGGCTTTCCTGAGATCATAGGATCAGAGTGATTTGGGACCTTTAAAGACCACCTTGTCTCACATCCCTGCCATTGGCAAGCACATGCAGGGACATCTTCCACTATCCCAGGTTGCTCCAAGCCCCATCCAGCCTGGCCTTGGACATTTCCAGGGATGGGGCAGCTGCAGCTTCTCTGGGCCACCTCTCGGATTATAAAATATCTCTTTATATCTTATATATAAGTTTCCCTCCGTGTTGGAGCTTGGACATGGGTTTGGCAGGGACTCAAGTGCCACTTGGCAGGAGTGCCAGGTCAGGCAGTGGTGGGAGACACCCAGCCCGAGATGCTTTGGGCTCCCACACAGGGCCATGCTCTGGTGGAGACACAGCTGCACAGGCCCAGGGGCCAGGCTTGCAGCACTGCCATCTCTGCTCTCTGGGGAGCAGGGCTGCAGAGCAACCAGCAAGGATTTATCTAGAGCAGATCGCATCAGTTCGGTGTCATCCTATGCTGGGACAGGTGACAGTTGCCTGGCCATGGTGAGGAGCAGAGCCTGACCACCTCAGCTCTGCACACTGCTCACCAGAGCWGCTGGAGGCTGAGGTGGCTTCCTTGCCTGTGCCCAGAGGTTCTGGGCATTGTCTGAGCAAGAGATGATGGCTAAAATGGCAGGTGATGTGGTGTCCATGTCCGTGTGCCAGGGGATGGGGCTCTGCATGAGCTGGGGGCACTGCTTGCCCTGGCAAAAGCTGAATTCTGGCCACCTCTCCCAGTAACCCAGCTGGAAGGTGTTTGGGCTGGGCAGAAAGGTCACTTGCCTTCTAGGCAGGGCACCAAGGTGGAATGGTTTGGACAGAGTGGTGGGGGATCCTGGCAAAATCAGCAATGAACTGGGGTCTGTAAAGACCTGATCTGCCATTTGTAGCTACAAAATCCATCTTGCCTGCAAGGATTTTTGTGTTTCCCAGTGAAATCCCATTCTTAAGCTGTAAATGTGGCTTGGCATCATCTTCAGGGTCAGCAGGGATGCTACATCCATTACATAACCAAAATTTGGGGGAAGAATGTGTCCAGTGAAGCTTTTGCATGTCTCCAGCTGGGTGCTCTCTGCTTTCCTGGCAATGCAGCTGTGGATGGCTGCACCCTGCAGGGAGTTGAAGATGAGTTGAAGATGTGTCAAAGACACCAGGGTCAGGGGTGGTTGGAGCAGGGAGAGAGGACACTGTTTCCACCACTGCTTTCAGAGAGCAGCTGATGGAGGAGGAGTACCTCTGTGGGTGCTGGGACAGCAGGGAGCACATACCAGCCATGCTGAACCTCAGTGCGTTGCATTCCCAGCTCATTTTGGATAGCTCAGGTGATTTTGTGTCAGCCCCTCAGCCATGGGCAGCCTGGGGGCAGGGGCCACACTGGGAGAGGGGTTTGGGGCAGGGAGCAAGGCTGTGCCTCAATCACAGAGACGTGCTCTCCCACCCATGGGGAAAGAAGAGGTGGCTCCTGTCTCCTGCAGCCCATCCTGGAAGAAGCTTCTGTCACACTGGAACCATATCTTATGTGGCTTTTGCATGGCCAGCAGGTCCCACGATGTGCTCTGGGATCCTGAAGCTTCCAAGAGCTCTTTGGCAACTGCTCTCTGTGCCCACCAATCAAAACCTGAGAATTTCTGAGTTTCATAAAGCTCAGTTGTGTGTGGAACCTCAATCCATAGGAGACATCCCCTGTGGGTCCCTGCCTGCTTCCCCTCCTGTCCCTACACCCTTCCCCACAGTGGTTTCTGGGTACAGCGTGGCCTGAACACCCCTTGGCTGCTGAGTTTTGCTGCTGAATGCAAAAGGGATATGAAAAAGGGAAGTGGTGTGTGTTGCAGAGCCTTTGGAAGAGGTCAGGAAAATCCTGGGGATTTGCTGATGTGGTGCATCTGGAGGAGCCAGGCTCAACCAGGCACAAAAATCTGTTTATGAGAAAACAGCATCAACTGACTTCCTGTTTTGAGGTTTGTGTTAACTAAGACAAAACCCCTCAAGAAACTGAGGTTTTAAGGCAGTGAAGAGCTGCTAGGATGAATTTGGCCATGGTGGTTCCTGCAGGTTTCTGGCACTGATGGCCAAAATCCCCACAACTGCATTCTCCTGGTTAACGAAGTCTTCCCTTCTGGCTCCTCAGCATTCCGCAGCATGGCCTCCCCCCAGGACACATTTACAGGCAGTGAGCCTGATTTGAGCCCCAGGGAAGCTGCTGGAGGCAGTAGCACAGCAGAAGGGCTGTGCCAGCTCCTGTCTCCCTCCCTAGAGATGCCACTTCACTGCTGGGACTGTCCCTAACATCCCTGTGTGCTGGCACCGTCCTGCAGCATTGGGATTTGAGCAGCAAAGTGTGAGGAGGGATGGGTTTTACCAGACCCTTGGGTGTGGTGCTGGCCATGTGGGCTAGTGAGCCAGCATCAGCAGAGGGATGGGTGCTGCTCCCTGCTCTGACAAGCCTGACCCACAGCAGCAGTGGGACAGTGCGACCCCACAGGGATCTCAGCATCTGATGCACAAACTCAGCAAACATCGGGGCTGCACTGGGAGCAGCTCCTGGAGAGGGGGAGAGGGGCTCTTTGTGAGCCCCAAGTCACCCAGTACAGGCAGGATGAAGGACTGGGGACCAAAAGCAGAAGTGAGTCTGGTTTGAGCTGGGTCATAAATGATCCAAAGCACAAAACACGCTGGTGCCCCCAGGACTTGCAGCCGGAAAGGAGCTGGAGCAGGAGGAGTCTCCCTGGGTGGGGAGCCCAGCCTGAAACCCTCACCAGAGGTCACTGCAGAGGACAAAGGTCTCGGTCTCCTCCCATTAAGGGCTTGGGAGTCTCACCTTGAAAGAGCTGGGATGGACAAGCTCCCGGCCCACCGGGACAACACTGGGTCTAGGGCTGAGGCTTGCAGCTTGCTACAGGGTTGGGGACTGCACTGGGGCACCCAGGGAACCTGTGCCCAGTGCAGCAGCTCAGTGTTGTGATTTAGGAATGGTATTCCCCAGTTTAGGACTCCCATCTGTGCCCGGTGAAGCAGCTCAGTGTTGGAGTTTAGGAATGGCATTCCCCAATTTAAGGCTCCCATCTGTGCCCGGTGAAGCAGCCACAGTGTCATGGTTTAGGAATGGTATTCCCCAATTTAGGGCTCCCACCTGTGCCCAGTGCAGCAGCTCAGTGCTGTGGTTTAGGAATGGTATTCCCCAATTTAGGGCTCCCACTTGTGCCCAGTGCAGCAGCTCAGTGCTGTGGTTTAGGAATGGCATTCCCCGGTTTAGGGCTCCCACCGGTGTTTGCTGCTTGCTTCCCCTTTCCCTTTCAGCTAGAAGCACAGAAGACAAAGATCACATGTTGAGAACAATTTACAGTTTAAGAAGAATTTACTAAGAGAACAATTACTAAATTGTTTTAGTAATTTACTAAAGAAAAAATTACTAGAAACAGCAACGAGATAAGAAAACAGTAAGAGCAGCAATACTGATAACAAAATTGTACAGAGAGGGTGATTTACATGCAAAATACTCACCAAGCCAGGGACAATGAAACAATGGCTTCCCTCCACCCACCAGGCTTTCTCCCAACTGGAAAAGAACACCCATTCTTCTTGGAAGAGAGTCCCTGTTCCCTGGCCATGGCAGTGGTGTGAGGGGGAATGGAATAACTCTATGTCTTGGCCCCACCCTGTCCCTCTGGGCCAGAACCAGGACGCGCAGCATTCCTGTCATCCTGGTGGCACCTGGTGGCATCGTGTCTCCTGAGCTCTGTGCTCCTGGCATGGACCTGCAGGAGGAATGCCCCGTGCCCCTGGCAGAGCTTCTGGCCCCATTCCTCTGCCCCCTAACACTATTTCCCCTTTGTTCCTTGCAGTCAGGACAGTTCAATGAAGACATGATCCCGACAGTGGGCTTCAACATGAGGAAGATCACCAAAGGGAACGTTACCATAAAGGTAAGATGCACTTGGCACCACTGGTCAGGGCTCTTGGGATGAAAGAGGTGAGGGAGATTGGTGGCTCTTCTGCTGGAGGTAGAATAATTCCAGGGACCCCAGCTGCAGCTCATAGAATAGAAACATAGCATGGTTAAGGCTGGAAAAACCCTTTAAGATCAAGTCTAACTGTTCCCCCGGGAGAGCCATGTTCTCCACTAAACCAYGTCTCCAAGGGCCACATCCACATGTTTCGTTAACATTTCCAGTGATTGTGATTCCACCCTCTGGAAGTGAAAGATTTGCCCTATTAGGGTCCTGCAGGTGGAAAGCAGGTGTTAGCCAACACAGGAGGGGGTGGGGAGGGGTGTAGGAGATCCAGGCTGGTGCAGTAAGAGCCAGTCCAGGCTGCAAAGCTGGAGGTTTCCTTTTATCTCTGACTTGCTGGTAGGGACTGATGGATGTGGTCACCTTGCTGAGGGTGGTAGTGCTGGGAATAACAGGTCATGGCTTGCAGTGGTGGTGTCTGCCTTGGGAGCAAAGGAAGAGGAGGGTTCTACCTGATCTGAAGCCTTCAAAGACCCTGGGTTCTACTGGGAAATGGCTGTTGGACAGGCTTGAAAAGCTGGCTGGGGGATCTCTGGCTGCTGCAGGAACACTTGAGAGCATGCTGAATGTTCTGAAATGGGAAATATCCCTGGGAAATGCGAGGAGGTGCAATGGGCATGGGGAGGAGCACCTGGCTTGGGCCAGGGGTGTCCCTCCATGCCATCAGAGGCACAACACAGCAGAATTCAGCATCCTCCAGCTGCCCTTCCTGAGCTTTCTCCCTTCTTTATCAAGTCAGGAGCCTCCTCTCTGAGGTTTGAGCTGGAGAGGAGAGGATGGGGTGGGGTTTGATGCGTGGCCAGAATGCCCCAGGTGGCCACACGGGGGAGGAAGAGCGTTGGGCAGGACTGCGGGATGGACAGCACGGTGCTGGGGTAACGCTGCCATCTCCCTGTCACAGCTCTGGGACATCGGCGGGCAGCCGCGGTTCCGCAGCATGTGGGAGCGATACTGCCGTGGAGTGAGTGCCATCGTGTGAGTATCCCGGGGGCAGAGCTCTCCTGGCACCCCTGTGCTGCCGTTGAGCCTTTCCAGTGGGTGGGGGCATCATCCCACCCCGGGGAGCTGCGGTGCCTTCACTGACACCTGTGTCAGGAGTTAGGATCACTGAACCATTGTGGAATTATGAAGGTTGGAAAAGGCCTCTGAGATTGTGGTAGTTCATCATTCTCCCAATCCCTTATCTAAATCCATACATTCTTGTGTTAATTAGGTTTTTTTCCCTCTCCTCCACATAGCCATGGAGATGGGGGAAGTATCGTGGATACCTTGGTGTTCTGCCAGGGTTCAGACCAAGAAAGAGATCAACCATTAACACCACCATATTCACCACTAGACTGTCCCCAGATGGTTTTTGGATACCTCCAGGGATGGTGACTCCACCACTGCCCTGRGCARCCTGTGCCAGGGCCTGACTTTCTTTTCAGGGAAGAAATTTTCCCTRATATCCAACCTRAATCTCCCCTGGTGCAACTTGAGGCCATTTCCTCTGGTCCTGTCCCTGTCCCCTGAGAGAAGAGCCTGACTCCCAGSTGCMTGCCCCCCTGTCAGGGAGCTGGAGAGACTAAGAAGGTCCCCCCAAGCTTCCTTTTTTGGGGACTGATGTCCACATAGGCTTTGAGCAAAGGATAGCCAGGTCTCTCCAGCTGTGGCAGACCCTTCTCTTCCCTTCCAGCATCACTCAGTCCAGCTCTGCTCCTCAGATCTTACCCTTCCAGGCTCCCACGCATCCTCTGAGCTGGCTGCTCACTGCAGAGGCTGAGCAAAGCCCAGTAGAGGGGCTCAGCCCTTCCCAGAGRATTGTTTCCAGGTCATGATGTTTGTGTGCTGCCAGATAAATCTTGTGCTGAGAGCAGGAGTCTCAGTGCAACACCCACTGCTGAGTCAGCAAATCCGAGTGTCCCTGAGCGTCCCCTGCTCACAAAGGGGGCAGTAAAAGCCATCCCAGGGAGTCCAGGCTCGGGGTGAGCATGGCAGGGCGCTCATGGGACACAGGTTGTGTCTTCCAAAGGACAAACACTGATCCTGGGACACCACACTGGGGTTACTTCAACCCAGTCATGCTCTAAATATGCTCAGATATGCTCCAAATATGCTCAAATATGCTCCAAATATGCTCCAAATATGCTCAGATACTTACCCCAGGAGACCATGTCAGGGTTACTTAAACCCAATCAGAAAATGAGATTTACGGGATCTTTCCCAAGTGACCATACCCTGAAATTTGGAGGGCTGATTTCTGTTCTGCTCTTCCCAACTCTAAGCCTTGGCTGGTGAGGAGGAGTGGGACCTCTTGTTCTGTGTGTAGGGATGAACAGTGGTGTCAGCTCCTGCCCTTGCAGATTAGACATGGTGGGACATGGTCTTGGACCTGCAGGAGGGTTTTTGTTACACTTTTTATTACAATGAGCTTTGCTGGAAATGACAAAATCTTTGTTTTCTCCCTCCTTTTGCTGCCTCCTTCCATAATGTCATAATTTTGGCCCACATGGTTGTCAGGAAATAAAAGGACCTGTCAGCATCCAGGTCACACTCCAGTCTGCCCTCATCACATTGAGCTCAAGCTGTGTCACGTCCCTTTTCCTTTGCTCTCAGCCCTCCCCCTGCCCAGCGTGCCAAGGGCTGGGACAATCCCTAGGGGTGTTTTTCCATCTTGGCACAACATTCCCATTTTCCTGTGTTAAGCACTTTAGTAGCTCTTTTTCTATTTTTAAATAACTCCCCAAAGCATGATGAGCTGGATGGTGTTTCTCACTCCTTGTCTCCTGGCTTCTTGATCTTTGAAATCAAGGCTGCTTTGATCAGTTCCTCACCCAAGTTTTGGCTTCACTGACATCCTTTGCAGGATGGAAGTTGGCCTGTAAGAGCGAAATCCTTTCCCAAATCTCCCCTTCTGCTCAGAGCAGCATTGCTGGCCACCAGCCCCTCCCAAGATTACTCCATCAATGGGATAAGGAGGTCCTTCCCCTTCCTGGGTCATTGTCACCTCTCCATCAGCAGGTCCTCTTGCCTTCTCTGCCTCCATCCTGGTGTTGACCTGGGTGATGTCCTGTGCCCACGAGTCTCACTGGACATTTGGGGACAGCGTGTGTCCTGCAGCTTCTGCCTGGGCTTCCCTCACCCAGCCTGTCCCTGCTGTCAGCAGGGGGACACCTGCAGGGACAAGGATAGGGTGGTCCCCCCTCCCCTGGGAGATGTGAGGGGCCCTCAGCACCACAGCTGTCCTTGGTGGAAGGATCCCGTTATCAGCCATCCCCACGTGCTGCCCCAGTGTCCCGTGGAGGAGGTTTGGGGGTGGCACGAGGGCACAAAGACCTGGGCACCTGTGCTCAGGATTTCCCTTCTCTTGCAGGTACATGGTGGATGCTGCTGACCAGGAGAAGATCGAGGCCTCCAAGAATGAACTGCACAACCTGCTTGACAAGCCGCAGCTCCAGGGCATCCCGGTGAGCTGGTGCCTCAGTTGGTGCCCCCAGCCACTCGTGGTCCCCAGGCTGGGCACTGCCAGGGCTTGCAGAGCAGATCCAGGGAGGGATTTCCCTTTCCTGGAGGCATCCCTTCCCTGCTGCACTCCCCCAGCTGGGGCAGTGACGCTTTCTGGGTCAGAACTGGGCTGAGGAACAGAGGGAGCTTTAGGGCAGGGAGCACAGACCAGGCCCCCGTGGGTGAAATCTGCCCTTCCACGTGGGTCTGCACCTGATTCACAGTGTGACAGTGAGGTCCAGTCTCCCGGGAGAGGAGCTGCTGGCCTGTGACACGTGCAGGGGGTGGGACATGGCGCAGCACCAGGCATGCTGCACGTGTGGGTGGGATGTGCTCCAGCCATCCCAAATCAGCATCCTTTGAAAGGAGCTCATTGAGCATCCTGCCACAGATCCCAAATGTCTGCTGCCAGCTCAATTAGCTCCTGCCATACCCCGCTGCAGTCACAGGCCTCTGAACACTCTCTTCTGAGAACAAACCTCCAGATTGAAACGGGGGAGATGCTGCACCCTGTGTTGCTGCATCCTGGGATACTGCATGCTATGCTGCTGCACCCTGTGCTGCTGCAGCCTGAAATGCTGCATCCCGATCCCGTGCTGCATCCCRATCCCGTGCTGCATCCTGATCCCGTGCTGCATCCTGTGCTGCTGCAGAGCCCTGGCACAGGGCGGGTGGCAGCCACAGCCTAGGCACCGCCCCATCAGGTGACAGTCACATGGCTGCTCCGGAGGGACAAACCAGTCCTGCTGGGCGGTTATTTTCCTTCCACAATCTGAGAACGCTTTTGTGGCTGTGAAGAGCTGTGAAGGAGAGATCAGTGATGGCACAAACAGCCGGTCCTGGTTTGTGCTGGTTGCCTGCAGGGTGGGTTGTGCCCAGCATCCGCAGCTCGCTCCTGCTGGGTAACATCAGGGTTGGCCATTTTGCTTGGCTTTTTGCTCAGAGACACTGAGAGGCTCCTGGGAGAATGTCCTGGGTGGCACAGCAGATGCTGGTGCCCTTCAGAGAGGCTCTGCTGTGGAGCCATCTCCACACTGGGGGTAGGGAGTGCACAGGAGATGCTGTGTGCAGGCTAATTGAGCAGTTAATTGTAATGCTCTGCCTCCTGATGCTGCTGAAGGGGGCTGCTCTGAGCCATCCTAGTGGAGGAGCCAGGGCTGTGTCACAAGCAGTCTGTGCTGCTGAATGGCAGAGGCAGGTTCCTGCCTGGTCTGGTGGCTTCAGGTGTCCCCTGTCCTGCCCTGCAGGTCCTCGTCCTGGGGAACAAGCGGGACCTGCCCGGTGCCTTGGATGAGAAGGAGCTCATTGAGAAGATGTAAGTGTGCCAGTGGGACACCCTGGGCAGCCACAGCGAGGCTGTGACCCGCTGCCCGTTCTGCGGTGTCCCCATCAGCACCATCACCTGTCTGGGGTGGCACTGCAATGACACTGTGTGACCCCTGCCCGTTCTGCCGTGTCCCACCATTACCATCACCTGTCTGGGGTGGCACTGTGGTGACACTGTGTGACCCCTGCCCGTTCTGCAGTGTCCCCATCAGCACCATCACCTGTCTGGGATGGCACTGCAGTGACACTGCGTGACCCCTGCCCATTCTGCCGTGTCCCCACCATTACCATCACCTGTCTGGGGTGGCACTGTGGTGTCCAGGGTGGGTTGGCACACACTGGTGGCCGAGAACGGCCAAGGTGACGCCTTGTGGAGACGCAGAGGAGCTGGAGCTGCCAGTGCCAGGGCTGGGTGCCACATGGTGGCGTGGGGGCCCGGCACASMGTGGYACTGGCYRGTGGAGCTGCTYTCCCCCAKMTACCACACTGGACAGTGGCACTGGRCTCCTGCACRGTGRGGATCTGGGATGCTGKGCTGCCTGACARCATTTCCTCCCCTTCAGCCACCCTCAGAGCCCCTCTGGGCCACGGGCACCTCCCATACTGCCAGTCTGTGCCGCCCCCCAAACCTTCCTGCCCCTCTGTCTGCAGGGCTGCGGGGAGAGCCATGGAATTTGGTGGCCAGCTTCTCTGTCCATGGGATCAGGTCCCTCCTGCCCTGTCACACAGCCCCCCACCCAGACCACCCCTGCCCCTCAGGCATGGAGTGATGGTGCCCTCCCCTGCCCCACCCRGAGAGCSTGGRGAGCTGCTGCCCCTCCAGTGTGCCCTGTCTGGGAGCAGGGTCCAAAGGGACCCCTCAAGGGCTGCCTGGGGGTGTCTCCCACTGCTGCCCCACAGCTCAGGCTGGAGCCAACACCTGCTCCTTTCCCCCCAGGAATCTCTCTGCCATCCAGGACCGAGAGATCTGTTGCTATTCCATCTCCTGCAAAGAAAAGGACAACATCGGTGAGTGCCACGGGCTGGGGTCACGGCAGGGCGGGGGCTGCCCGTGCCCACGTGTTTGCCCAGCTGTGGGAGGASGGACAGCCAGAGGCTCTAAGTGTCCCCTTCCCTCTGCAGACATCACCCTACAGTGGCTTATCCAGCACTCGAAGTCCAGGCGAAGCTGAGGTCCTGTGGCCTGGCTCGGATTGGGAAGATGCCATTGTACAAGCCCGTGCCCCTCTCTCCTGCTCTGTCCCTCCAGCTCTCTCTCTAGATGGGTATTTTTAGGGGACCCCAGGCTCTGTTCACATTGGGGCAGAGTCCTTGTTTTTATTGTAAAGAARATGTCYGACTGCCCTCCTCTCCTCTCCTGCCCTCTCTCTCTCCCTCCATTTTGGCACTGTTCTGTTGTTGTCCGTGTATACAGTATATATATATATGTATATATATTTTAATTTTTTAATTTAAGGGATAGTGCTGTTATTAAACTGGGCCCTGTGAGTGGTAAGAAAGCTGGGGCTCCCCGAGGCCAGCCAAGGGTCAGCTCTGGGAGGAAGAGGAGGGTGGTAGCAGAAGGCAGCCCTTGGGGATGGGACTGTGCCAGCTGCAGGCAAGTCCCCTGAGGGTCCCTCTCCCCTTCTTTGGGGGTMCTGCTGCTGCCTCCAAGCAGAGACCACCCTGGGGGTGCTGGGAGTGCCCACCTGCCCTGCCTGCCTTGGGGTGGGAGGGTGCCAGTGCCACCTGCTGGCTCCTCACTCCTCTGGGGACAGGGGACAGGAATTAGGCACAAGCCACTGCGATCAGCCTTCCCCTATTGCCTCCATTTCCCCAACCCCTCTTTTGGGCCCAGGACCACTCGTCCCCCTGCCCCACATGTCCCCTGCTCATGTGCCTGGGCCGAATGCTGCCCACTGCCCAGCCTGGCAGCTTGGGGGATGGTCTGGGGCACTGACACCAGTGCTGGGGGCCCAGCAGTGCCAGTAGCCCCTGGGGGAGCGGGGGGCTGGCACCTGCCTCCCCCCTGTCCTGGGGCTGGCTCAGTCCCTGAGCCCTCAGGACAGCTGTGCTGGCTCCCCACATGCCAAGTGGCATCGCCTGTGCACGGCTGGGGCTGCTGGCTCTGCCCCGGCCAGGGACATCCCTTGGGGTGCTGGAGAGTAGGGACATCTGGAGACACACTCAGAGCATCTGTGCACCCTCAGTGCTGCCCACCTGATCCAGAGGGATGTGCCCTGTGACTCTTCCTCATGTCCTGCTCCCCAATCCTGCTCCCTGTGCTCTGCTCCCCATTCCCTGGTCCCCATTCCTGCTCCCCATGCTTGTTCCACGTTCCTGTTCCCCATACTCTGCTCCCTGTGCCTGCTCCCCATTCCTGCTCCCCATTCCCTGCTCCCCATTCCTGCTCCCCGTGCCTTCCTCTTCATTCCCTGCTCCCCATTCCTGCTTCCCATTCTCTGCTCCCCATGCTTTTTCCATATTCCTATTCACCATACTCTGCTCCTTGTGCCTGCTCCCCATTTCTGCTCCCCATGCTTGTTCTCCATTCCCTGCTCCCCATTCCTGCTCTCTGTTCCTGCTCCCCATTCCGTGCTCCCCATTCCTTGCTCCCGATGCTTGTTCCACGTTCCTACTCCCCATTTCCTGCTCCCCACCCCTTCTCCCCACTCCCCATGCTACCCCCTGCTCTGCCCAGGCTGGCAGACACTGGAGCCGTGGGGCAGGGGCAGCAGGGCCCTGGGGCCAGCGGTCAGGGCTGTGTCTGCAGAGGCTGGAGGACTGGGAGCCCTGTGGGGTGGGAAGGGCTGTGGCTGTGCCATGTCTGTGCCACTGGTGGGAGCTCTGCAGGAGCAGCCTGGGGTGGTTTGGGGGCACTCGGCTGGCACTGGAGGGTGCAGGGGGAGGCAGCTGCCCATCCCAGCACAGGGCTAGGGTGGGGATGGCCAGGGGGGCTGCAGGGCCCCTCTCAGCCYCTTCCTGCTGAGCTCCAGGATGTCAGGCCGGGAATTTATCTTCTGTTCTTGTTTTTGCAGAATTGCACAAAGAGAGGTTTCCTTTTGTTGTTTTGGTTTTTTTTTTTTTTAATTTAATGACTTGTAAAGTGTTGTCACCCCCCTCCCCCCCTTTTTTTTTTTTTGTAAGAGATATTTTGACTCAGATTTGACCTCTGTTGGGAAATGATTCTTGTAACTGTACAATTTTTTTGCCTCCTAATAATAAATTAACAATTTTGCGTTGCGGGTGTGGTTGCAGTCACATTACTTCCTTGCCATCATTGCCACCCATCCTGCCAGGGATGATGGTCCCTGACCCCTGGGTAGCACTGGGCACCTGTGTGGTCACCCAGGAGGTGCTGGAGGCACCTCTGAACGCTCTGGATGCCTTCTTTTCTTGGCCTGGGTGCCACGACCAGCTTGGACACTCCATCTCTGGCCATCATTGCTGCTGGACCTTCCTCTGCCCCTTCTTGTGTYCCAGAACTGCTGGGTTTGGGGGGGCTGCAGTGCTCCTGCCCCTCTCCCTGCTCCTCCTGGGGGCTGTCCCCACTGCTGCTGGGTCCCCCTGCCCTGTGTCCTTTGGAGGTGGCCTCCTTGTCTGTGTCCTTGGGAGGTTGTGGCCATCACTGCTGGGTTCCCGCAGGGATACCCGTGTCCCTTCACTCCAGGACCACTTGGATGTCCTCATGGAGCATCCCAAGGCCTCCATGGATYCCTGGAGCTCCCAAAATTCTGAGCCTGTTGTGTTGTGCTGCAAACATGAGRGCAGGACAAGGGGARTGGGCTCAGGTTGTGCCAGGGGAGGTCCAGGGTGGGCTTCAGCAGGAATTTCCTGCTGGAAARAGGAGTTAATCGTGGGAAGRGGCTGCCCAGGGCACTGCTGGAGTCCTTTGGAGGTGGCCTCCTTGCCCGTGTCCTCGGGAGGCTGTGGCCATCTCTGCCGGGGTCCCAGTGCCCCATGCCCACGGGAGTGGCCCCTGCCCCGCGCTCTGGGGCTGTGCCCTGTGCTTGCCAGGTGGCCCAGCAGCAGGATGGCAGCAGGATGGGGTGCAGCCCAGCCCGTGGGTGCAGTGCCCGCTGTGGTTCCACGTGCTGCCGCGACCCATGGTGCCGGTGCTGCCCGCACCCGCTGCCCCCCGCCCCGCTCCCCCTCCCCACGCGTGCGGGGCCGCAGCACAAGCCCGGCTTTGTTCGCCCTTGGCCCCRGCTCAGGACGGAGAGATGCGGACCAGGCGCATGAGAGATGCCCTCCCCCACYGCCCCCAGTGCCACCAACCCCTCACAGGGACCCCGCTCACCCCAGGGTAGTGAAGGGGCTCTGAGACCCCCCTGTGCCAGRATGAGACCCCTCTTCTCCCAAACTGTGGGGCCAGCGCGGCCGGGGGCGGGGGGAGGAGGATGAAAGGAAAAACCCAGTTTTGTGCTCTCCAAAGAAAACTGGGGCTTTTGTTTCCCTGGCAACGGGGCTGCGAAAGCAAAGMCCGAGCCGAGGCTGGTGGGTGTTGCGCACAAAGGCCGCAGTGAGCCCCTCGCTTTCACTGCCCCTGGCAACCGGCTCCCTCGGCCCGGCATCCCGGGGGCTGGGGCGGCTGCCAGCCYGGGGACAAGGAGCTCTCACAGCTCGGCGGGATGGGACTGCCACGGCCAGGCTGCCCTTGGGCACATCCAGCCCGCCTGCTCCCTGACCTGCCCTGCCCCGYGCAGGAGCCTCTGGGGGGTGGGAGATCTCCCTGATCCTCCTGGGACAATCATGTCCCTGCAAGGGGCAGGTGGATGAGGGTGAGGAGCTCTGTGGGGTGGTTTGGGTGAGATGCACTCACCCCAAGGGTCCCCAAGGACATCTACCACCGTGCGGTGGCACCTTGGTCGTGCACAGTGCCCATGGGGAGCCAGCAGGCTCTGGGGCACCTCAGCTCTGGGCTGGGCTGGCTGGGCTTCACCAACACCAATTTAAATCCTTCAAACCACCCCAAGCCCAACACTTCAGAAGGCACCGTCTCACAGACACCGCTCAGCATCACCCCAGAGGGAGGGAGGGAGCAAAGGGGCTGGGGGCCTTTCCCCATCTCCCCTCACCATTGCCCACCCTGGCACAGCGGCTTCCCTGCCCTCCTGCCCCCAGCTGCCCATGCCCACCCCAGAGCCCCCAGGCTGAGGGAAGAGCCATCCAAGGGGCTCCGAGGGCTCAGCCCAGCAAGCACGAYGTGCTCTAGGTTACTGGTTTATTGAGCTTACACAGGGCACGGCTTGAATCCRTGGGATACRGCCAGTTGGACCTTGTCCTATTGTRGAGGGGCTGGCAGGAGGGGAGGGGACAGGACKAGGGCAGTTTGTGTTTGCTGTGGCCTCTGCAAGCCTCCGTGGGTTCAGGTAAGACCTTCCCAGCACAATGCCATCTCCASAGCAGCGACCCCACGGAGCCCGGCCGGGCAGCGGGGACGGGGGGTGCTGCCATCCTCGCTGGCCTTTGGGCAGAGGCAACAGGGTCACCAGTGTAGCCAGGGGACCGGGTTTCCAAGCCCCACCTGCCCGATGCCGGGTTTGAAGCCCACGGTGCAGCCCCCTGAGCCATCTCTTCTGCTTGTTCCACATCCAGACACGAGTACTAACAGCAAAACGACGTTTGGTCTTGGGAGGAGGTGGTGGAACGATCTCTACAGCTCCCCGGTGGTACTTAGCACGGCGTGCCGAGCCCTAGCAGGGGTGGGGGAGTCTCCCGGGGCTTGTCGAAGAAGATGGAGGAGGACATCTCGGTTTTGAGCTTGCTGTCGGCGCTGCCCTCGCTGGAGGTGCCGTCGGGGCCRCAGCCCTCGCAGCAGCAGCAGCAGCAGTCCATGAAGGCCTGGCCCAGGGGACGGCAGAGGCACAGGAGCAGGACGGGCGTCACCGAGCACTTGAAGAACAGGAAGAACTGGTTGATGAGGTTGAGCAGATCCAAGGTCTGCTTGGACATGTCGGGGGACATGTAGGCCACCACGATGTTGCAGACGTTCTCGGGGGTGGTGCAGAGCCCGTAGATGATGGTCAGCGCGATGATGGTGCAGTTCAGGTGACCCTCGCACTGGCCGTGCTTGGTGGTGCGGCACTCGCTCTTCTTGTCGGTGCTGCGGATGCGCCGGGTCACCAGCTGGCAGCTGACGGTGAACAGGATGGGCAGGCAGAAGTAGCAGCCAAAGTACCACCACATGCGAGCGTTCTGGTAGGTGAGCACCAGCGARTAGATGGACTCGGGCAGGCTGGACAAGGGCTTCATGGTGCAGTACTCGGCGGGCACACCGGACACGGGCGACGCGTCCCGCGCCAGCTGCCAGAGCAGGACCTCGGGCACCGACAGTGTCATGGAGCCCACCCAGATGACAGCCAGCTTGGCAATGATGGACTGGCACTGCTCGATGGGCCGCGTGCTGGCCTGGGGGCTGGTGGCCGCGTGGAACCTGTCGATGCCCAAGGCGCACAGACTGAAGGTGGTCACTCCCAGCGACGATACCTGGCGAGGGAGGAGGGACAACAGGTGGGCCCTGCTGCGGGGACATCACAGGGACTTGACTCTACAGGACTCGTGGCAAACCCCTGGCTACCTAAAACCACAGCCCCTCCCTCAAAGTTTGGAGGGAGGTCACAGCCTATGGCTGCACCCCAGGGCTTAGAGCCACTTTCTTGTGACTTCTGAAAGGATAAAAATGTCCCCTGACCCCGTARTCCCTGCCCAGCTCCTTTTTCTGCAGAAGGGAAATGTTTAGCTGGATGTCTGTCTGTCCATCCAGCCAAGGTGGGAACAGCAGGATTGTCCTTCAGGCTCATCTGGATGACTCTCGCAGAGGAGAAGCAGGGACCATCACAGCCACCAGCACCTTCCCAGGGTTCCCAAGGTCTGCCTGGACAGGCCAAGTGAGTTGAAGGCACTCTTGTCCCAAATCAGCTTGGGGCAATTTCCGCTGCATTGAGAATAGCAGGAAAAACATCCCCTTTGCCAAAGGAGGGGGCCAAAGGAGGGAGAGGGATCACTGTGACTGACCAGCATTCCCAGCCCCAGAGYTGGGAGCCAAGTCCCACAGCCCTCGGCCAAGATGATGGCAGAGTCACATGCTGCTGCTCCCAGCGCTGGGGCTGTTCCTGGCCTCATGAAGCCATCAAACATCACCCTGTGCTCAAAGGCCTTCCCAGCTCTCAGCAAAACTCCCAGGGCTCCGCGTGGAGCGTGGGGAACAGCCCGGAACATCACCCCCCGACCCCCCCGGCATTGTCCTGGATCCTGCTCTGGTCACTGCAGCAGCTGATGGCCAGAGGGACGCCAGCCCCCAGCAGCACCAGCGCTTATGTACAGCAGACAGGATCAGGACACGTGCCCAGCACAGCATCCTGCACCCAGCACCACCTCCCAGCACATCCCAGCACCCAGCATCCTGCCCCACAGTCAGCACCCAGCACCACTTCCCAGCACCTGCCCAAAGCTCAGAGCCAGCCTGGGTACCCAGCTCTGACCCACAGCCACCCTGGACACCCAGCTCTGCCCCACAGCCACCCTGGACACCCAGCTCTGACCCACAGCCAGCCTGGGCACTCTGCCCTGCCCCACAGCCAGCCTGGGCACTCTGCCCTGCCCCACAGCCAGCCTGGACACCCTGCCCTGCCGCACAGCCAGCCCTGGGCACCCTGCCCTGCCCCACAGCCAGCACGCAGCACCCAGCTCTGACCCACAGCCAGCCTGGACACCCTGCCCTGCCCCACAGCCAGTACCCAGCACCCTGCTCTGCCCCACAGCCAGCCCTGGGCACCCTGCCCTGCCCCACAGCCAGCCTGGACACCGTGCTCTGCCCCACAGCCAGCCCTGGGCACCCTGCCCTGCCCCACAGCCAGCCTGGACACCCTGCCCTGCCCCACAGCCAGCCTGGACACCCTGCTCTGCCCCACAGCCAGCACCCTGCACCCTGCCCCACAGCCAGCACCCAGCACGCTGGATCTGTTCCCTGGCTGGCACCTGCAGCCCCTGGCACTGCTGTGCTGCCGCCTCCTCCCCCTCCACCCTTCCACAGGCTCTTCTGCCTCTCCTGGTGCCCCTGGCCGCCCATCTCCAGGGTCCTGGCAGGGATGTGGCTGGTGGCACAGCACATCCCCGTCCCCAAAGGCACACAGCCTGCCCCCAAAGCCCATGGGACCAGCTTTGCCCCCAAAACCTGGCTCTAGGCCACAGCACTGAGCAGCTACAAAGCGAGGACAGATCTGCTTCTCATGGTGTCCGTCCAGTGGCCTGAGCCACTCACAGCCCCTCCAGACATGAACCTTTGGCCTCACACAGGTTCCCCTCTCACAGCTGACCCTTTGCTGGGGACTGGCCTGGCTGTGGCTCCCCCCCGGGCTCCCTGCAGCTGSGTCCCAGGTGAAGCCCTGGAGCCCCTTCCTCATGGGTTGGGGGACAGGAAGGCAGTGCAGGGCTGGGAGCTGTGGGGCAGAGCAAGAGTAGCCCCAACACCAGGACCACACTTCCCGCTCTGGGACGTGCTCACCCTTCTGCAGCAGCACCATCCCACCATCCCTGTCCCCTCCTGACTCCCGGGGCACCCTGGTGCTGCTGACTCCCTGTACCTGGCGGTGCCACCCCCAGGGCTCTGTCACAGGGACAGGGAGCCCACGAGCAGCAGATGTTCCTCAGATCTTCCCCAGGACAGGGCCTGCTTTGGGGACATCACCCCTCCCTTCCCATCCTTCCCTGGACACTGAACTTGGGCAAATTCCTGCCCCTCTCTGAGTCCACCCCCCTGCAGTGCTGGAGGGCTGAGGTGGAGCACAGGGATGGGGCAAACCCTCCATGTAGTGAGAGGATGGGGTGGGACACCCCTGGGAAGGAGCAGCTCTTGTCTGTTGGGCAGGGGCACCGGGAAGCAGAGGACATGGCCACATCCCTGTGTCGGGCTGGGCTCTGTGGGTTTGGGGCTGTGTTCTCCAAGTGCAGGACCCCGCAAACAGGGGACACAGTGGCATTGGTAGGGCTGGGCACAGGAGGGACCCCAAAACAGCCAGAGACCCTTGCAGTCCCTGCCCAAGGGCACAGGGCACAGACAGGTGACTGTCCCAGTGCCAGCAGGAGCCCTGAACACTCAGAGGGAGGAGCAGCTTCTCAACCCCGTCGGGTCTGACCCAGCCTGAGAGGGCTTTCAGTGACCTCATACTGTCCCCAGGTGTTTGCAGCCTTTGATAACCCCAGAGAGCAGGCAGGCTTGGTCTCTGTCCCCCCAGGGCATGGAGGGGCACAGCTGGACCCCAAGGCTCCCTCGAGGAGGGAGATGAGCACAGCGAGGGTTGGTGTCAGGCACAAGAGCAGGACCAGCCCAAATCCGGCCATCGGGGGCATTTTTGCTCATTCTGCCATCCCCTGTCACCACAGCCCCTGTGGCCTTCTCAGTGGGTGCCCGGCTCTCCCCAAACGTGGCCAACCTGTCACACCTGAGGCTCAAGCACAAACAGATCTCAGCTTTCACACATAATCCCTGGGCTGTCCCATTCCAGTGCTGACCAGCACTGTCCACCTGCAGCCCCCTRGCCCCAGACCACCCCCAGCAGCCCGCAGTGGCCAGTTCCTGGGCCAGCACTCTGCAGGGCTGAGCCCCCAGGCTTTGTGGGGTCAGGCTGGGACAGGAACAGACAAATGGAGGGACCCTGCTGAGAGGAGTCCCTGAGCTGGCTGGAGCAGGGTCTAATGGGCTCTGCCCAGCCCTGGCAGCATCAGTGCTGGCTGCAGAGACTGAGGGATGGCCTGGCACAAAGGGAAGGTCACTGCTGGCACTGTCCCTCGCCTGCTCGGCCCTGGACACTGTGGGGGTCTCTGGCACACYGTCCTTGCGCCAGGCCACCGTCGGCACAGGCTGCCCGGAGCGACAGGGCACAGAGGAGCTGAGTCCTGGCTCCCTCCGGACACCTGGGCACGGCCTTACCTCCATGAAGGGCACAATGCGACAGGACATGTCYCCCAGCAGCCTCTTCTTGGTGATCTCGTTGAAGATGACCACGGGCAGGCAAAAGAAGAGGATGAGGAAGTCCCAGAAAGCCAGGCTGGCCAGGATGGAGTTCCAGGCGCTCTTCATGTAGTAGTTGTGCCACACGATGCACATGACCGACAGGTTGCCGATGATCCCCACCGTGAACACGATGAGGGACAGGAACATGACGGCGTAGGCGCTGTAGGACCTCTCGGTCACCGGGTACAGCGGGTTCTGGATCTGCAGCCGCTTGTCGGACACCGTGGTGAGGTTGGCCCGGGGCTCCGTCCCGCCCCTGTCCGTGGGCACCCCCGGCTGCCGCTCGGCCGGGTCGGTGCTGGACGGCAGCAGGGCCCTGGTGGGGTGCAGGCTGCCGGAGTTGAGGGGCCGCGGGAACTCCACCCGCACCCCCGGCACGTACTGCTGCACCGACTTGGAGTCCTCCTCCGTGCCCCGGCGCTGCCGCTCCCCCGGCACCCGCAGCTCCGGGGTGCCGCCGCTCCCAGCCGTGCCTCGCACCCCTTCAGCCCCCGGGGCCGGCGGCAGCAGCAGCAGCAGCAGCAGCAGAAGCGGTGGCGAAGGCATCGTGGCCCCCGCGACGGTCCCGCACCCTCCGGGAGCGCGTGTGGCGGAGGCGGCGCAGCCCCCGGGGCTGCTCGGGCGCTGTGTCCGGCGGGCACGGCCGCTCCGTCCGTGTGCGGCCGCGGCTCTGGGCGCTCGGGGTGCGCTGGGCAGCATAAAGCGGCGGCGGGAGGAGAGAGCCGAGCCCTCTGCTGGTCACCCACCGCCCGGGAGGTGGGACAGCGGCCAGACTGGGCAGGTCCACATCCCCCAACACCCCCCAGCATTTCCCTCAACACCCCCAAACATCCCTCCAGCATCTCTGCAAACATCCCAGTATCCTCAAACATCCTCCAACGGCCTCCAGCATTTTCCCTCAATATCCCGAAACATCCCCCCAGCATCCCCGAATATCCCCAAGTGCCCCCAAACATTCCCCAATGCCGCCCAGCATTTCCCTCAACATTGCCAAGCATCCCCCAGCATCCCCAAAAATCCCTCAGTGTCCCCAAACATCCCCCAACATCCCCAGCCAACATCTCCATTTCCCTCAACATCCCCAAACCTCTCCCCAGCATCTCCCAAACATCCTCAACCCCCTCCCAAGCATTCTTACAAATCCCCCAGTATCCCCAAGCTTTCCCCAACACACCCCAGCATCATCCCAGCATCTTCCAAACATCCTCAAACCTCTCCCCAGCAWCCCCCAGTATCCACATACATTCCCCAATACCCTTCTAGCATCCTCTCAGTACCCCACAGCACCTCCCAAACATCCTCAAACCTCCCCCCAGCATCCCTGCAAATCCAATATCCTCAAACATTCCCCAGCATCCCCCCAGCACCCAAAAAAAAATCCTCCAACATCCTCAAACATCCCTTCAACATCTCCCCCAGAATACCCCACCATCCTTCAACATCCCCCAGCATCGCCCAATATCCCCCAACACCCCAGTTTCCCTCTGCATCCCCCAAGAGCYTCCAATATTCCCCAACATTCCCAAATATTCCCTGAGCACAAGCCAGATGAAGGATGGCACAGCCTGGCACTGGCCATGGCCTGCTGAGCTCAGGTCTCCCCCTGGAGCAGGTGGCACTCAGGAGCTCTGAGCTCTGGCCCTGGGCACCATGTGGCATCATGTGGCACTGGTATGATGTGGCACACCCCCTGCACACTCAGCCTGGGCTCAGGACACCCTCACATGGCCAAACGGCCTCCCTGGGGATGGAGGGCTGACAGGGCTGCCCTTGGCAGGARGAAGGACTGGGTGAGTCCAGGAGAYGCTTCTTGGGACACTTTGGGGTCAGCTGTGCTGGCCAAGGTTTGTTGCTGCTTTTCCTCCTCCCTTCCCCTTGGGACAGTGGTTTAAACAGAACTGGGGTGCCTGATCGTATCTGACTCCTCCCCACAACGATCAGCTCTCCCACACCCATCACCTTTCCCTGTTTTCCCCTCCTACTGCCATATCCCTCTCCTCTCCTCTGCCCGAGTCTCCTGCTCCCCTATTTGTTATCCCAGACTGCATTGATGCCTTAGGATTTTTAGCTTCTATATTTTTCATGTATCTGTACTCTTGTACTTCTCTAGTACAGCACTAAAGCTCCTGTTCKCCCATCTTTAGACAAAACAATTCCTCTCTGGGCCTGAAACTCAAATATACTTCACTGCCTCAGAGCCCCAAAATATGGAAACAACAGAGAACTGGGGGGAGCAAGTATCACCACCTTGGGGGGATTGAYAYCAYCACCTGAAGGTGTCATTGGAGAATTGGGGCCCGATGTGTTCATGAGACAGAACTGATAAAAGGTGAAGATCTCGTGACTCAGGGTCCATTTTGGGGGTAGYCTCAGGAGGAGGCTTTGTCTGCCCTCAATGTACCCCTAGGCCTGTTAGGCTTGTATTAAAGTTGTYTATTCTCATTCTCTTGTCTGACCTCTATTTCAGGTRAGCCTGATTTAGGCAGCAGCACTGTCACCTCTCTCAGCCTGTGGGCCTGGAGGGAGCAGGGGTCCCCTCTGGGGACAGACCCTGTGGCAGCCGGCCCGTGGGGATGGGTGAGTGCCAGGCTTGGAGCCACAGAGCTGCCCTACACCAGGGAGTGCCAGGAGTGTGTCCCTGTCCTGAAAGGGCCAGGACCCCTCAACCCTGTGAGCCAGCAGCCTCCCCCTGCCTGGGACCCACTGCCACGAGTGTCTGGCACTGCCCACCCCTCCCCGAGCCAGAGGGACAACGGGCTGGCATCACAGAGCACTGGGGGACATGGGCTGTGTCATGGGATCGGGGACAGACGGTGCCACCAAAGCCAGAGCGGGGAATCTGAGCCCTGGGACACACAGGGTGCTCCTGCCAGGGGAGTGTGTGGCCCCAGCTGGTGGGACACTGCTGACAGGGGTTCCAGGGGGGAAATGGAGGACATGCCTGACATGGGTTTATGGTGGAATGTGGGACACTGCTGACAGGGGTTCCAGGGGGATAATGCAGGACATTCCTGACATGGGTTATGGTGGGATGGGGGAGACACTGCTGACAGGGGTTACAGTGGGGGAATGGAGGACATTCCTGACATGGGGTTATGGTGGGATCTGGGACACTGCTGACAGGGGTTTATGGTGGGATGCAGGACATTCCTAACAAGTGTTTTGGTGGTGGGATGGAGGACACTCCTGACAGGTGTTTTACGGTGGGATGTGGAACACTGCTGACAAGTGTTTTATGACACTGCTGATAGATGTTTTATGACACTGCTGATAGATGTTTATGGTGGGATGGAGAACATTCCTGCCGGGTGTTTTGGTGCTGGGATGCAGGACATTGCTGCCAGATGTTATGGTGGGATGTGGGATACTGCTGAGAGGTGCTTTGGTGGGATGGGGGACACTGCTGACAGGGGTTCCAGTGGGGAATGCAGGACATTCCTGACA